ATGGCATCACAGCTCACAGCAACCTCAAATTCCTAGGCTCAAGCCATTCTCCTGCCTCCGCCTCCCAAGTAGCTGGGACTATAGGCGCCTGCCACAACGCCTGCCTATTTTTTAGTCGCAGCCATCATTGGTGTTTGGAGGGCCCGGTCTGGATTCGAACCTGCCAGCTCAGGTGTATGTGGCTGGTGCCTTAGCCATTTGAGCCAGAGGCGCCAAGCCTTGGTTATTATGTTTAAAAATTATTAACAGAGGGAAAAAAATCATCTCTTCTCCACTAACCATTCTTAGTTTATGAACTATATTTATTTTATTTATTTTTAGACAGAGTCTCAGTATGTTGCCCTCAGTAGAGTTGCCGTGGTACCACAACTCACAGCAACCTCAAACTCTTGGGCTTAAGTGATTCCCTTGCCTCAGCCTCCCAAGTAGCTGGGACTACAGGTGCCCACCACAAAACCAAGTTATTTTTTGGTGGTTGTTATTGTCATTGTTGTTTGGCAGGCCCAGGCCAGGTTCAAACCCACCAGCCTTGGTGTATGTGGCTGGCGCCCTAGCTGCTGAGCTACAGGTGCCAAGGCAAGTTTATGAACTTTAGATGGTTTTATTATTAATAATTCTGGATCTACTTAGGAATTATGGCCACGTTAAATTTAGTTCTTTATTGTTGGTGGGGCTTTGTTAGTTTTCTTTTGCTTTCTACTGTTAAAGTCTTGGTATTTCCAGTTGTTAAGATGGATATACAGACTGCTTCTTAAAATACATGTTAAATTAATATGTTCTGAAATTCTTATTCAATTTTAACTGATCTTTCCATTTTCAGGAGCCTACTTACAGCCGGCTTCCTCCTCCTCCCCAGCCCCATCCTAGTCTAGATGAACTACATCGCCGACGAAAGGAAATAATGGCCCAACTAGAGGAAAGAAAGGTTATCTCTCCCCCTCCTTTTGCACCTTCACCAACATTGCCTCCTACCTTCCATCAAGAGGAAGTAAGCACATCAATTTTGTCAATTTTATATGTGTCCTATTTAAGTAATCTTTGCCTATTCCTAAGGTTATAAAGATATTTTCCTATCCTTTTTCTCTAAGAAGTTTATTATTTTATTTTGCATTTAAATCTATAACCCATCTACAATTGATTTTTATATATAATGTTTTGGTAGTCAAGATCTTTTTTTCCGTAAGTATATCTCATTAACCAAGCACCATTTTATGAAATGAGTATCCTTTCCCCAGTGCCCTGTAGCCCTGCAGTGCCTTTGGCATAGTAAGGTGATCATATATGTTTTTGAACTCTGTTCTATTGATCTGTTTTCTATCCTTGTACCAATAACACATTCTCTTGGTGTAGTTTTACCATAGGTCTTAGTATGTGGTGGTGTATGTTTTCCAATATTGTTGTTCTTCAAAAATCAACATATCAGGCTTGGTGCCTATAGCTCAACCGGCTAAGGCGCCAGCCACATACACCTAAGGTGGCGGGTTCGAATCCCCAGCCCGGACCCGCCAAAACAACAATGACGGCTGCAACCAAAAAATAGCCGGGCATTGTGGTGGGCGCCTGTGGTCCCAGCTACTTGGGAGGCAGAGGCAGGAGACTCGCTTGAGCCCAGGAGTTGGAGGTTGCTGTGAGTTGTGATGCCACGGCACTCTACCCAGGGGAACAGCTTGAGGCTCTGTCTCAAAAAAAAAAAAAAAAAAAATCAGCATATCAGTACTGATATCCATAAAAACATCTCCTGCAATTTTGATTAGGATGACGTTGAATCTCTGAATCTGTACTGAACAATATGGTAGCCACTAGCCACATGTGGCTATTAAGTGCATAAAAGGTGGCTAGTTCAAGTTCAGATGTATTATGAGATATATACTGGATCTGTAGATTGAAGACAAAAAAGTAAAATATTTCATTAATGTTTTTAATATCATTGATATCTCAAGTTAAAAAATGTATTATTAAAATTAGTTTCATCTGTTTTTCTGGTTTTTATGTGGCTGTTAGAAATTATAAATTGATATATGTGACTCACGTATTTTTGTTGGACAGTGTTGCTTTAGATCAATATGGTAAGAAGTGATTATCTTTTTTTTTTTTTTTTGAGACAGAGACTCAAGCAACCTCCAACTCCTGGGCTTAAGTGATTCTCTTGCCTCAGCCTCCCAAGTAGCAGGGACAACGCCTGGCTATTTTTTGGTTGTGGTGGTTGTTTGGCAGGCCTGGGCTGGACTCTAACCCTCCAGCTCTGGTGTATGTGGCTGGCACCTTAGCTGCTTGAGCTACAGGCACTGAGCCAAGAAGTGGTATCTTTCTAATAAGTCTCCATGAACAAAATATACCCCTATATTTGGATATTTTTCATACTTTAGTGTCTTGCTTATTGTACATTAAATTTATTCCTGAATAACAGATTTTTATTGAAAGTGTTTCAAATAGAATTCTTTTTGAAATTTCTATTTGTTAACATACAGAATTAAGTAAATTTTCATCTATTAACCTTTCTGTTCAGCAGGCTTGTTAATTTCCTTATTCTAATATTTGTTGGTGGGTTCTTCTGGATTTTCTGTGCATACAATCATGTCCTCTGAATAATAACTTTTTCTTTTCAATTTTTTTCTTTCTTTTTAAAAAATATTTATTTATTTATTAAACAGAGTTTTACTCTGTTGCCCTGGGTAAAGTGCAATGGCATTATAGCTCATAGCATCCTCAAACTCTTAGGCTTAAGCAATTCTCTTGCTTCAGCCAAGTAGCTAGGAGTATAGGCACCTGCCACTATACCTGGCTAGTTTTTCTATTTTTAGTACAGTCAGGGTTTTGCTCTGGCTGGCCTGGAACTCCCCGGCTCAGGTGATTGACCTGCCTCAGCCTCCCAGAGTGCTAGGATTACAGGTATTAGCCACCATGCCCAGCCTCAAATTTTTTCTTTCTTGTTGCACTCCAATATAATACTGAATAGAAATGATGAGGACATGTATTCTTGACTCATTTCTGATGTTTGAGTAGGTGGAGCAAACACCATTCTGATGTTTACTGTAGGTTTGTTGGTACATGATCTTTATCAGGCTAATGAAGCATCCCTCTATTCCTGGTTTTGGAATATTTTTCAATAAGTGAGACATGTCAAACATTTATTTATTTAACTCATAATGAAGAAACTAACAATAGTAAAGTTGGTTTAAGGCTGGGTGCAGTGGCTCTACCTATAATCCTAGCACTCTGTGAGGCTGAGGCTGCTGGATTGCCTGAGTTCATGAGTTCAAGACCAGCCTGAGCCAGAGCGAGACCCCATCTCAAAAAATAGTTGGGCTTTGTGGAGGGCACCGATAGTCCCAGCTACTTGGGAGGGTGAGGCAAGAGAATCATTTGAGTCTAAGAGTTTGAGGTTGTGGCTCGGCACCTATAGCTCAACCGGCTAAGGCGCCAGCCACGTACACCTAAGGTGGCGGGTTCGAATCCCCAGCCCGGACCCGCCAAACAACAATGACGGCTGCAACCAAAAAATGGCCGGGCGTTGTGGCGGGCGCCTGTGGTCCCAGCTACTTGGGAGGCTGAGGCAGGAGACTCGCTTGAGCCCAGGAGTTGGAGGTTGCTGTGAGCTTTAATGCCACGGCACTCTACCCAGGGGGACAGCTTGAGGCTCTGTCTCAAAAAAAAAAAAAAAAAAGAGTTTGAGGTTGTTGTGAGCTATAAAGCCAAGACACTCTACCCAGGAAGACAAAATGAGATTCTGTCTCCAAAAAAAAAAAAAAAAAAGTTGGTTTAAAGAGTTAGAATGATAGGCGATAGGTAATGAAAATCAGAAAAAAGCAAGGACAATAATATAAGGTTGCTTAAAAAAAGAAAATTGATGTATCACAGGGCATTAAACCATACTTTGGAGACTCATCTAAGATGATCTGCAAGACAGTGCTGATAGTTTCCATGAATGTTGTCTTACTATCATTTGAATGTCAATATTGCCTATAATTATGCTAATTTTTCCATTTCAATATTGGCATTTTTTTCCTTTGTCAGTCTTGTTAGAGATTTATCAGTTTTGCTTCTTTTTTTGAAAAGTCAACTTGCATTTTTTATTTTTCTCAGTTTTGTTTTGTTGATTGTATATATACTGCCTTAGCTTGTAGTGTGTATGTTTTTAAAAGGAGCCAAATAAGTTTTCTCAGTAGAATTGCAATTGTTAATTATATGAGGAACGTGTCTTGCATCCTTTATGTATAGAATTATGCTTCTGAACATTGCTAACTGACAAATTATGGATAACAAGCAATAAAAATTGAAAACTGAAGTGTGTCACACATAGTAAACAGTAACTTGTTTGGTATTTGAAGGTGGTCTACTAAACAGAAGTTATTCACAGTATCTGGCTTTCCCATCTAAATACTTTGCATGAATTTTCCACAATAATGTAGGTTATTAGTAAAGCCATGCATCTTCTATTAATGTAGTTTTGCTTGTAAAGTATAAACAACTAGTGTGGTATTGTTTCAAAATTATATATTAGAGACATCCTAGAACCTTGTTATGCCATACTATTTTATAAAAAAATATGGAAAGAGGCTTGGCGCCTGTGGCTCAAGTGGCTAAGGCGCCAGCCACATTCACCTAAGGTGGTGGGTTCGAATCCAGCCCAGGCCCGCCAAACAACAATGATGGCTGCAACCAAAAAATAGCC